AACAGAAATTTTTGGAAAAGCTGAGCAGGTCTGGCAGCATCTATGAAGAGAAATCACAGTTAACGTTTCGGGTCTGGTGATTGAGGAAGGGTCACCGGACCTGAAACATTAACTCTGACTTCTCTGCACAGATGCTGCCAGATCAGCTGAGCTTTCCCAGCAACTTCTGTTTTTGTTCCCAATTATCTTTCATCCCCTTGGTAATTAAATATCTATTTAGCTCCACCTTAAGACTATTTAAAGACTCTACATCCACTTTGAGGAATAGGATTCCAAAGATTCACAACTCCCACTGTTTTAAATGGGCAATTTTTAAACTGTGACCCTTAATTCTAGTTTCGCCCACAAGACATACTTTCAACTCCACCTGGCTAACTCTTTCAGTGTCTTCTATGTTAAGCACACTGGGCTGTTGTTAGATCATCAATCTGGTTTTTAAAAGGAGTACAGATAAAGTTTTACACATAAGAAAGTTTACTTTTGATTAGTGAAGATATGAACTTATGAAAAGCCAGTACAACTTGGAAATAACAGAAATGGCCTGATCTCCTTGAGTATACATTATGTCAGACTCAAAATGTTTCCAAGTCTGACTTTTTACCCCCGAGCAAATGATGCCATTTATTGCATTTTGTAGTTGGTTGAGCAAAGTGACCCTAATGTTGCTGTGTAGTCGCCAATACGAAATGAAGTTGTGTTCGATCGAAATAATTAAACTTGCCATCATACCTTCCGAAAAGTACCAGCTCAAAACGACCTCTAACATTTCAGCATCTCCCTAATGCACGTGAACTGGCATCCAATCAGAAAGGCCACTCCGATTAATCCCAATTAGCTGGAACCTTTCGCGACAAAATAGTACAAACAAAGAACTAAACCGCATTAATAATGTTTTGTTCATATCATAAAAAGTGCTGCGTAACCAAAGTTGAACGGCTCTCTATTGTGGATCGGGTTTGGCTTTTGTTAGTAAGTGCTGCAGGTGTGTTTGTGCAGTGGAATGGTACAGCAAATGTTTAGTCTGTGAAGGGGTCTGAAATCTATAAATTGCAGCAGCGGAGGCAGTGAAGCACTCATTGGATTGTAACAGTTGTGTGGACATGTGGGTGGTGCTAGTAATTCTGTTTTGATGTTTTTATAGTTCGGGTTAAATACAATTTTGTAAGATAAGAAATTGTAGTTTGTGTTTCTAGTCCACCAGGGCGTTCTGTTTTGTACGCCATGCCTTCTGTATTTTTTGTTGTCTTGCTAGTCGATAAAAGTTACTTTCAGAAACTAATTAGATTGTAATCTAGCTTTTAACCTTGAAGATACAAAGCTGTTAGTTTGTTTTACCAGTTTAGTCTGTTGATGCTTGCATTATTGAGGAATAGGAGCTATAAAAGGAAGTTTTACTTAAAACTTTGCTGCCCTGTGCCCACCAAAATAAAGCTTTTTTAAAAACAAAGTTTGTTCACTGGTATTTAAGCACCTAATGCTTCATGCAAATCCCAATTAGGTCAGATATATTTGGCAGTTTCACTAACAATGTTATTAGTTACATTTTATATTCAGCACTTTCAGGACAGATCAGGTGTTCTTAATTCTTTCATTTGAAGACTGAAATTAATTCAATTAACAACCTTACAATAATGTAATGTGCTACTTAATTTTTTTATGAAATAGCAATATAAGTATTTGCTTGACTGTTACTTTGCACTCCCAACTTTCTGGTGAATTCCAGACACCAAAGTGGCCCCATTGGCTTGTGTACATTTTAGTAAGGGCAGTATAAATAGTTTTAAGTTTTTGTATCTATGTAAAACATGACTTTCTTTTTAAATTTGATTGCAGTACTTGGGATTTGAGTTTTTGAAATTCACTTTGGAATAAAATGCTTTACAGTCACTGTCTTAATTGCAGCAACTATTACAAATTTATTTGCTTATTCAACAAGAAAATAGTTATGAATCATTTTTGATTTACTTAAATGTTTTCAGTGTTTCAGAAATGTTTGCTTGTTGGCAAAAAAGTTGTCTAAGCTAGTGTAAAAATATGAAAGTTAAGTATTTAAGTTGTAGATCTATGAATTGATATCTTAAAATTTAGTTGCATTTCTGAGATGCCTAGTGATGTGATACAGTTGCATTAATTGTGACTAGATATGCTTTTACAAAACTAATTGGCTTAGGGATTTAAATTAACCCAGTAGTGCTTTATTGTTTTCCTTCTTAGAGATAGTACGAACTGCTGATGCTGGAGTCTGAGGTGACAAGGTGTGGAGCTGGATGAACACAGCAGGCCAGGCAGCATCAGAGGAGCAGGAAAGCTAACATTTTGGGTCTGGACCCTCTTCAGAAATGGGGGAGGGGAAGGGGGCTCTGAAACAAATAGAGAGAGGTGGGAGGTGATGATAGAAGGTGGATAGAGGAGCAGATAGGTGGAGAGAAGACAGACAGGTCAAGGAGGCGGGGATGAAGCCAGTACTGGTGAGTGTAGGTAAGGAGTTGGGATGGGGGCTCTTCATTTAGGAGGAAGGGGTGGGTAGGTGGGAGGGAAGACGGACAGGTCAAGGAGGCGGGGATGAGGCTAGGTAGGAGGTGGGGGTGAAGGTTGGTCAGTGAGGTGGGAGGAGCAGATAGGTGGGAGAAAAGATGGACAGATCAAGGTGGCGGGGACGAGAGGGCCTGGTCTTGGTTGAGGTCGGGGTGGGGAGATTTTTGAAGCTTGTAAAATCCACATTGAGACCGTTGGGCTACAGGGTTCCCAGGCAGAATGAGGTGCTATTCCTCCAGCCTTTGGGTGGCATTGTGGCACTGGAGGAGGCCCAGGATGGACATGTCGTCCAAGGAGTGGGAGGGGGAGTTGAAGTAGTTCGTGACTGGGAGGTGTTGTTTGTCACAAACTGAGCGTATTCCACGAAGCGGTCTCCAAGCCTCCGTTTTCCTTCTTGATCCTTTTGGATATTAAAATTGTGGAACTGCAGGGTAGCTAACAAGGCCCTGCTCAAGAAGGAATTCATTAGTTTAATTTTTATTGTGGACTAGAGTGCTGGTTAGTTCGTTTGGTTGGATGGTTGGTTTACAATGCAGTGATACTAACAGTGTATGTTCAATTCCCAGATCAGCTGAAGTTAGCATGAAGACCTCTCCTTTTCAACTGCTTCTCCCTGACCTGAGGCATTGTGAACTTCCAGTAAACCACCACTGGTTGTCTCTCTAATGAGAAGGCAGTCCTGTATTCCAATAGGACTATAACGACTTTCCCTTTGTTGTGACTAACTTGTAGTCTGTACTTCAAGATCAATTAGTAAGCATTTAGAAATACATTAGTTAATCAAACCCAAATTTTTAATGTATAAAATATTTGACAAAGTCACAAGATAGGCAAAATGTTTGTTTGAGTTAATCAATTTTCAGGAGGTTGTTCAGTGATAAACAAGAAACTTGGTAAACAGTTCAAGTTTGTGAATTCAATGAAGCCACATAATTAACAGGAAGTGGGATTTTTAGATTGGAGAGGCATTATGGTTGGTGTTTTCCAGTATTTCAAATTTAGCTTCATTTTTGTATAGTGGAAACAGAATTAGGAACAGCACCTTGATTAGCTGACAATACAGTAGTAAGTGAAAAAGCTATAAAAGTTTTCAAAAGGACAAAGAAAAGATGATGGGTGCATTTAACGTACATAGCTCAAGTTCATTTTATTTGGAGGGAAATGAATGGAACTAAATGATTAATGAAAAATACTAAATGATGAATGTGAACAATATCTCACCCCAAATAATCAGGACTAAGACTAGATTTGATCATTTTTTCTTAAAAGGAAACAGCATATTGGGGTATGTAAATGAGACTCGTGTATAATCAAGTAGTAAATGCCATTTTTAAAATATCATTTAATTTAAAAAAAAAAAGCTTACCGGGGAGGGTGATGCTAGGATTGGAAAAGGATGAAGAACTTGTCATGAACTGTCTTCACTGATACAGATAATGCAAACTGGTGACGTTTTTGAAAACAAAGTAATGTTATTGCAAGCTGGTGGGAAGTCACTGAGGAATGGTCATAAGCTTAAAATCCCTCATGCAGTGGGGTTAGAAGTTTGGCTTGGAACAGTGCATCTTTTTAAAGGAAACTTGTTTAAATATGAAATATAGGAAGCAACAGGGTTGCAGAGAGAGAATCTGGGAAAATCCGGAAGCGTCTGTGGAGAGAAATCAGTTAATGTTTTGGGTCGAGTGACCCTTCCTGAGAAATTTGAGGAAGGGTCACTCAACCCAAAACGTTAACTCTGATTTCTCTCCACAGATGCTGCCAGATCCACTGAGCTTTTGCATTAATTTCTGTGTTTGTTCCTGATTTACAGCATCAACAGTTCTTTTGGTTTTTAATTAGTCTGGGAAAACACTAACACAATCTACAGGATCTGTTAATAAATACTTAAACTTCTCAGTTAATTTTAAAGAAACCTTGAATTTTGAAATGCTAATGAGAGCAATAGTTCAATATTGATTCAAAGTCAATGGGATTCTGCAATAAATTCATATGTGGAATATATATTTGTAGCTTTGGGCTAGTAGTACCAAAGAGCCATTTGACTCAGGCTCATAACTGAGCAGTTCAAAATTGAACCAGTTGTACTGCTCGTACATAAACTTTCACTATGTCCAGGAAATGGGTTTTTACAAAGCTTTAACCTCAGAAGTTCATGTCTCATTTACCTTTGACATCTATCTCTGGTCACTTTAACTTACTGATGTTCGTCGGTGATTGCTTAAATTATTGCACTGTCTACATTATAATAGTGATTACTCTCTCTTTAAAAGACAATTCATTTAGCTGTAGGGCATACTAGAACACTCTGTTGAGTTTGCTAGCATGCAATCCTCTTTTTGAACATTTGGCGCTTATGCTTGCATAACCTACAAATGGCTTGTCTTGCTGAAGAAGCTTTATTGAAAAACATTGAGGTGCTTTAGATTTAATTCAACAAAATAATGTTTTCATATTTGCCATTTCAGTTAAGCATGGGAAGAATAGTTGCAACAATCACAATAACAAATTGACAAATTACAACAACAAAACAAGAATAGTTGCAACAATCAGTTGAGTTTCTTTGACCTGTGGCTGTAAAAGAACTACTGTCAAGATACCCTGACGTGAGCTTAAGTGACCTTTATTGGTTATTTGCTGTGCCCATACTGTGCCATGTAATAAATTAACTTGCTTTGTAAACCAGTGAATCAGCTGAGCTGGCACTTACTAAACATTCTGCTACTCAGTTAATCTTGGTCTAACGGTGCTGTAAACCAGAGATTTTTTAATGTCTCAATTAATTCATTGCACTGTTGGCATATCCCAAAAGTGAAGTTTTCAACTGTTGTAACCTGATGCAGAACAAACAGCTTAGAAATTTACTAGTCCTTAATTATTGTTATATTTGAATATTTGGGGCACTTTTCCCCCAGTGCACTTATTTGCAAACTTTTTTCAGAGGTTCTTATTTTGCATGTGAGTGCATGTATTTAATATTTGTTTTTGTTTTTTCAGTGGATTGAAGTCCAAAGACCCAAAATGGCCGAAAGTAAAGCCACTAGTGTGCTGAGCTGGGATCAAGTGAGCAGTTTGAATGATGTCCTCACTGAGGTGGTCCTCATTCACGGCCGTGGAAATTTTCCAACATTAGAGGTCAGACTCAAAGATGTGGTTAAGACTGTAAGGACCAGGCTGTTTGAAAGTGGAATTCTAGTACGGGATGTCCGTCTTAATGGGTCAGCAGCTAGCCATGTCCTAGTAAAGAATAATGGCTTGAACTACAAAGATTTGGACTTAATTTTTGGGGTTGATCTACCAGGGGAAACTGAATTCCAGTTGGTAAAAGATGTGGTGCTGGGTTGTCTGTTGGAGTTCCTTCCGGAAGGAGTCAACAAAGAAAAAATCACACCCCTTACACTCAAAGAGGTCTATGTGCAAAAAATGGTGAAAGTCTGCACAGATACAGATCGCTGGAGCTTGATCTCCCTTTCCAACAATAATGGCAAGAACGTGGAGTTGAAATTTGTGGACTCCCTCCGCCGACAGTTTGAGTTTAGTGTTGATTCCTTCCAGATCATCTTGGATTCTCTCTTATTTTATTATGATTACTCTGAGAACCCAATGAGTGAGCACTTCCATCCAACAGTAATTGGGGAAAGTGTATACGGGGACTTTGAGGAAGCATTAGGTCACCTCAGGAATACACTGATTGCAACCAAGACTCCAGAAGAAATCAGAGGAGGAGGACTGCTTAAATACTGCAATCTTCTGGTAAGAGAATTCAAACCAGCCAGTGAAGAAGTAATTAAATCCTTAGAGCGGTACATGTGCTCTCGTTTCTTTATTGATTTCCCAGACATCACTGAACAACAGAGAAAGCTAGAAGTCTACCTGCAGAACCATTTCATCGGGGAGGAGAAAAGCAAATACGATTACCTGATGATCTTGAGGAATGTTGTGAATGAGAGCACTGTTTGTTTGATGGGACATGAAAGGCGCCAAACTCTCAACCTAATCAGCCTCTTAGCTCTCAAGGTGCTAGCAGAGCAAAACATCATCCCTAATGTCACCAATGTCACTTGTTATTATCAGCCTGCTCCATATGTCAGTGATGCAAACTTTAGCAACTACTATGTAGCGCACACTGCCACCTCATACCAACAATCGTATCCTACCTGGCTTCCCTGCAACTAATAAGTAATGCTATGTTCACAGTTGACTTGTGTGCAGATTGATGCAGCTCAGCTCACCATTGTGGCTTCTTTCATTCACGTTAGCTGAGAAGGGAGCAAACCCTATGGCTGTTGTAAATGTTGCACGTATTAAACTGCAATGAGAATACAAGGATAATATGCACACTAATTTTTGCTATAGGAAAATCCAAAAAAAGTCACTAATGATGGATGGTACATAAATTTTAGGATTAACAACAATGCTATCAAAAGTCCTGATAGTACACTGTGTCGTAGTGTTCTGGAAATGTAACTTTGACTTTTCTGTAAAGGGTTATCTATCCTCACACTGTGTACTAGGAACAATTGTTAATTTTCGAGCAAAAATACAAATAAGAATTCACAATAATTCAGTTTAAAGAAGTAACTAATTAGATAATTTTGCAAATAGAAATATAGGGGTTGCACAGTGACTTTTTTAAATGAGACACAATTAGAAACCTGTAGTTTATAGTTCACACTTCAAATTGTAAGTTGCTCCTGTAGTGACTCAGTAGGGGGAAGGTGGTGGGTGTGAAGAAAGAACTGGTGTGCTTGTGTATAAAGCTGCAAAGGTCCACTACACATCTGCAAAACAAGTTTACAGACAAGCAGGCCACATAGTTGCTTTGTGTGACAATGACGGGCCATTAGTATACCAAGAAATGTAAATGAGTAATCTGGAAATTTCTACCTCGTGAATAAATGACAGTTAATTGATGTTTGAAGGTAAATCTACATTTGCAAAAACATTTTAGAAAATTCAGAACTGGTTAGTTCCTGGTTTTGTACAAGTGCTACTGCTCAGGAAAATGAGCTGAGAGTGATCTTAAAAGATTAGTTGCACACTATCCTAAGTTAGTTGCTGTTACAGTAAAGCCTTCTGTAGAGTGAGCTGCAATGTTGAATTATTTTGCAGAAAATATGCTATACTTTTGCTTCTGCATCATAATGGTGTATAAATACTCTTTCATGGCTGCTGCATCAGCCTTTTAATCTAAACCACATTCCCAGGCAATGGAAGTTTGTGCTGAAAGTATTGTACTCTCTCAAAACACAGCTTTACTGGGTTGGAGGAAAGTCTAAATCTAACAAGTGTCAATTTTTAAACTGTGTCCTTTACCACTCCAGTAAGTGCGCTGGAGTAAGAAGAGAGTGTAATTTGAATTTGCTGCATTCTAAGCTGGCCAATATGTGGCAGGCTGACTGTCAAATGCGTAGTTCATGGTGTGAAAGAAATGCAAATTTTGGTAAGTTCCAGGTGCAGAAACTCAAGTGTTTGTACGGTAATGCTAAGCTTTGCCTGAATTTAGTGAATTGAGTATCTTGTGTTCTGAGCTAAAATATAGAAGACTTCCAATATTAAAGCACAGTGAGGTGATGTGTGATTTGAAATTTTTATTCACATTTTGCTCTGAACCAGACTGCTTCATCCTTCAATTTGAGTGCAGTTTGTGAATAGATAGAACTCTGCAATTGGAACAGAATGAAGAACATTTCCTGAAACACCTCACAGGCCTGGAAATTCAAACTTGATATTTGAGCTGATTTGTAAAATACTGTAAGAGAAAGCAGGCAGGAACAGCTTAAATTGAATTTATCCAGGGGAATGTCAATAATGAAGTTCATCAAATAACTTGTTTCCATTTAACATTTGAATTAATGCTAACACCAGGAAAGAATTTATGGAGTAACTCCTGTCATTTAAATAAACAAAAACACAGTGTACTATTGGTGAGGCCTTTTTGGTTGAGATTTCATTATGCAAAGTGTTAATAAATGCAGTCGATCTAGGATGCGTACTGGTCCAGCACACATTCCAGTTCAGTGTGAACATAGTATTGCTGTATTTAAGTGCAGGGGACATTTGAAAATTGCAACTTTAATAAATTGTATACTGAATTTCAAAACACCAGCTTTGAATTATATAGAATTGAAAGTAGCAGAGTATAACTTTGCTAGTGTAAAGTCTTTATTTTTGACACACCTCCTTTTGAACACTTTTTTGTGTATGGTTTCGTTAAAGAATACTGGGAAGAGGGTGTGAGGAATAGAACTTGCGTATCTTTTTGAAAGCTGGTTACTGCGATTTAAAACAAATTTGGTGTTGAACAAATCCTTGCTGCACAGTCATAGTCAGATTCAGATGAGTTCAATGAATCCCGATCAGAATTGTGCGTGAAAGTCAGTCTGTTGCCCAGTGTGTCTTGAAACTATTTTATCAAGTGAAATGCAGAAATAAGTTTTCAAGTTGTACATTAAACCTTTTTATTGCACAAAGAACTCTCTCTATAGTGTTGATTTCTATTGCAGTGTGACTCTCTTCTACAGGCAGTGGCAAACTTAATATATTGCACAATTCGGTGAGATTTTCTAGTCTGGATGATATTGAACTGTTCAACCATTGCATACGGTATCACAGTTGCACTTGGTTCTGTTCTCAAATAGACACCCAAATATGCATTTTCTGGCAGAGTCACAAGGTAGTGACATGAAATGGGAGTATTGAATTTCCCAAACAGTGGGGAGGGAAAAGGTGCTAAAGTACAGACAGTCATTAAATCTGAGATATTCTTGATGTGTATGATTTCTTGCCTTATCACATGGTAAATTTACACACCCAACCAGCAGGAAAGTCTAAAGGATATTTTTGTATTTCTTTTTTTTTTTTTTAGCATCTATAGTCTTGAGTGCTTGCTACTACATATTAATGATGCAAAATGTAGTGAAATCAGATACTCAATGCTTAGTTCAGGATTGTGTAAATACTGAGTGAGTGTATGAGGCATTGGAATTCTCTTGCTGGTGTATGTTTTTTGATTTTTTTGTACCCTGATTTCAGTTATTTTCTTGTAACTAGGGACAGGCATCAAAAGGAGGAAAACAACTAATCTTATTCAATTTTTTTTTTTTTGTTTTGGGTTGAAATGATAAGGTATAGACATGATTGGGACTGAGACTTCTACTCCTGTGAGAAATAAAAATTGTATTTTTATTTTCAGATTAACTTGGCTATTACTGGCAATATTTGTATTTAAAATTTCCAGATTGTGCTGCTGTACATGCTTTGTATGAATATGTAGACCTTTGGTCCCTATTTGACAATAAAGACTACCCAATAAACGGTCAACTCAACTGAATTTATTTTTTAAACAAATTTGCTGATTGTCCTTTTTTTAATTTGTCTGAAAAATCTAGAAACTTGACTTGATGTATGTGCTAGGTCAAACAACCACTGCATGACGTAGAAAAAAATTGTAGAATTGCTGTATGTTAGTTTACAAATTTCAGCCATCATAATGAATTCTATCTTCTTTGATTTTTACTCTTTTCGTTCCAATTTTCATGCAACTTTTTAAAAGATTGAGTTTCTAACCACACAGATTCTTTGTCTTTAACCAGCTATTCCTTTTAAGCATGCTGCTTAGACATTAATCAGAAAGGCAGGCTGTTAAGTACCCTATGCTACCTTTGTGTGGGATGTCTTTGTTTTGTCTAATTGCATTCAATAAATGAATAGGGAGCTTGGAGCTAATGTTCAAGTTTGACACTTTGTATCAAATGCAGTACAATGCTCTTTCACAGGCTGGTATGGAACACTGTCTATTGGTTAATAGAGAAGTAAACTGAAGATTATTGGATCTGATAACCTTATTGGTATTATAAATTTAGTCCAACATTATTGGTATCAGTTTGGCCTTTTGGGGGGAATTGTCAAATTGACCTATCAAGACTGAAAACTAATCTTTAAGGTCTGTGGTGTTACCTAAATCAAAACATTTTAGTAAAAGTTTCAATGTTTATTTTTCTTTTGAGGAGCTGAATAGGTTCCCTTTTCAATATTTGTACAAAATGTCTAAAATCATAATGAGACACACAGCAAGTTGAGGTTTATCCTTTTGATAACTCACCAGCATGGAGTACAATCCACACTAGCAGTAATTATCCTGCATCCTACAATCGATTCTATGATCGTAAGCATAAAACAACCTCTACTTCTAACTGAATTTTCAATGTGAGGGGGTTATAAAATAATTGACAAATTCATAAATTTATGTTGGTATAATGCAAAAATCATCTGGGTTTGAGATTTTGGCAAATAAACTGCTGAGCCAGTTGGAACTAATGTCATTAGTTCTCTGGTTGTTGGACTAGTATCTGGGGATCTAGATTTTAAGCCCACCCCAGCAGCTGATAGGGTCTGCTTTCAGTTTTTTTAAAAAGCCACTGGAATTTAAAATTCTAATGATGACCCTGAAACTTAGGGGTTAGTGATAGAAATGGGTTTTATTTATGTCTGTTCAGAGAAGGCAAAGCTGTTGTCCTTACTGGCCACTCAGTACCAAACATTTCAAAAAGTATGAGACCATATAGATCACCTGGTATCAACTGGGCTAAGGGAAAGACTGGCAATCACAGCCCTGTCAACCTTCAGTCCTCCTTTCCAACAGCTGTTGGGTGTGCAGCTTTTGATTATTTTGAATGTTCCAGACAATGTCAGTACCATTCCTGAACAAGGGTTGCACAGTGGCTAATAGACAGGAGAGAACTGCAGTGGGTGTCCTTAACTGTAAAAGGAGCACCCAAGCCTATAAAATCCCAGTGCATCAGGACAGGCGTCAAACAGACCTAGCAACTCAGAACTAGGCATCTATGAGATGTTGTGGACCACCAACTGCATCTGCAAACTATTTGCATCCTCATGGCTTGGCCTATCCCATACTTTATCTTTTTTTTTAATCAAGTCAGGTGTCAGCTCTGATGTGTTAGCCTTGTGCAGTGACAATTTAGGACTGTTTGTATATCAGACAGCATAAATGACAAAGATAAGCAATTCCACAAGGGATTAGATCTAATCTCTGCCACACTGAGTTATAAAGTGGTTCCCCAGCATCTCTCATGCTTCAGTCAATTTGGCTCACTCCACAAAATGGAGTGAGAAATGGCCAAAAGCACTGGATACTGCATAGGCTATGGGTCCTGGCAACATTCCAGCAATTGTACTGAAGACTGTTGTTCCAGAACTAGCCCCATCCTGTGGACAGTTCCAGTACAGCTACGTCACTGGCACCTACTTGACCACGTAGAAAATTGCTCAGATGAGACCTGTATTCAATGCAGGGTAAATCTCACCCAGCTACTTGCTGCCTGATCAGTCTACACTCAATAAAGTGATTAAAGGTGCAACACTCACTTAGCAATAACCTGCTCACTGACACTCTGGGATCCATCAGAGCTATTTACGTGGAAGTTGACAAAGAAGGTAAAAACATGGGATCAAAAGAGTTAATAGAGTGGATAAGAAGTCATATCAGGTTAGGCTACAACTGGAGTTCTGTGAGAAGTTCTGGTTGCCTCACTATAGTAAGGATGTAATTGCACTGGAAAGGGTGTAGACACGATTCACCAGAATGCTGCCTGGAATGGAGCATTTCAGCTATGAAGAAAGGTTGGATAGGCCTGGGTTATTTTCTCTAGAGCAGAGAAAACTGAGGGGAGGAACTTGATTGAAGTGTGAGGCCATGGACAGGTTAGATAGGAAGCAGGAGTTTCCCTTAGTTGAAGGGTCAATAATTTTAAGGTGAACAGCAGGAGACTTACAGGGGATTTGAGGGAATTTTTTTTTTCACCCAGAAGATGGTGGAAATTTTGAATGCACTGCTTGGATAATTATAGAAATGTAAACTTAACATTTAAAAAAAATATGTGGGTGAGCAGCTGAAATGTCATACATTCAAGACAATGGGCCAAGAGCTGGGAAGTGGGATTAGCATAGATAGGTTGGCACAGATTTATAAGAGTCATAACGTGTGAAAACAGACTCTTTGGTCCAAATCATCCATGTTGACCAAATTTCCCATTTGTCTGTGTTTGACCTATATCCCTCTAAACCTTTTCTATTCATGTACTTATCCAAATACATGTTATATGTTATATGTTATTTAAATGCAGAGTGACTGGAAAGTGCTGCAACACAATGATTTGGGGTCCTCATGCACAAATCACAAAAAGTTAGTATATGTTCAGTGGGTAATGGGGAAGGCCAATGGAATATTCACCTTTATTTCAAACGTAACAGAGTATTAAAGGAGGAAGTTCAATGTTGTCAATCATTTTCTTGAGCCTGAATTTTTTAAAAAAATGTGGAACTGGAGTCTCATTTCCCGGAGTCTTTCAACATGATTATTGGACCAGAGTGTGTAAGAATGAAATGTCCTAGGGTCTGAAGTACATATTTGGCCAAAGAAAATCATGCCCATTTATTAAAAAAAATGGTTGCAGGGCTTGCCATAAATCCATGTGGCAAGGTACAAAGTGCAAGCATTATTGAATTCCAGGCCTCAGTTTATTCATCCAGTAAGCTGTAGATGTCTAATAGGGGAAGAGATTGAGGTGTAAGCTGGTGATAAGGGCCCTGCTGGCAGTTTGGACAGTTCAGATCTTGGATAGTGGTACCAAGTTAGGTTAATTGAGGATTTTATCACAGGGTGATTAAGCAGCAAGGCTGTTATGCAAAACAAATTGTAAAGCTGCCCATTAATAGGCAGCCCACCAGAGAAAAAGATGAAGTTCAGGCCGCTGTTACCAGCATTGACCCTCAGGTAAGTCATTAAAGGATTCCATGGTGGGGGATGGACAGGGTGAGAACTAAGTAGGAGAGCAGTTATCAGATTACTAAATAGAGGCCAGAAGTGAGAGGGTGGTGGTAGCAATTGATGGTGATGTCAGGGGCCATGAGAGGAAAGGGTGTGGTGGCCGACAGTGGCCCACTGGACTTGAATATAGAGCCCAGACATTCGTTGTTGGTAAGCTCTTGTGCTGTCTCTTTGATGACTGTTAAACTGTATATTGGTCTCTTTTGTTTTACTGGCAAGTGGTTTAAAAGTTGAGGAGTAAGCCATTTAAGAAGAAAACATTGCTGACAAATAGGGGAAGAGATTGAGGTGTAAGCTGGTGATGAGGGCCCTGCTGGCAGTTTTCTTCGATAGTGGTACCAAGTTAGGTTAATTGAGGATTTTATCACAGATGATTAAGCAGCAAGGCTGTTGTGCAAAACAAATTGTAAAGTCAAACTGACTACATGAAGTTAGAAACAGATAAGCCATGATCTGAATGAATGGTGGAGCAGTCTGTGTGGCTCAACGACTTTACCTGTTACTGTCTTCCTATGTTACTTTAAGGGCTGGATTTGCTACCGAGATCACAGAATTGGTGAATTGGGCAGAAAAATGGCTTTTAAGATGTGCACCCAAGGACTAGTTAGGTTAGAACGTCAGTAATGAATGGAGGATTGAGTAAGATTGGTTTGCTACTCAGACAAGTGGCAGTTTGTCCTATCTATGAATGCTGGGAGGATCATTTAGACTCACATTAAGGAGCATTGGACCTATGAAGTGTAGTAATGGGTTAGGTATGAAATAGGGATAAAATGCCCCTTGGAGGGTTTGGTGGATAGGGAGATTTTGCAGTCACTGACCATGGAGCATACCATGAGATCTTGGGGTTTCCTGTCCAAGATAGAGGACAAGAGGCATGCTGGATCTCCTGGTTACCTCTCTGGCTTTCTCTTTGACGCATAGATGTTTACAACACAAAAGAAGGGCATTCAATCCATCATGTTCATGCTGGTCAACAAAGATCTTATTGTATCATTCCATTTTCCAGCTCTTTGCCCATAACCTTGGAGGGAATGGCAACACTAGTGAATATCTAAATGCTATTTAAATGTTACAAGAGTTTCTGACTCAAACAGCCTTTTAAGCCCTGACTTCCATACTGCCACCATTCTTCGTGTGAAAAAAAAGTTCAACTCTCCTATTGCCTTTTAATCTGTGCCTCTGGGTATTGACCTCTCTACTAATGGAAGAAGTGCTTTCCTGTCCATCTTATCTATGCCCCTCATGATTTTTATAGATCTTTATCAGGTTCCCTCTCAACCTTCACAGCTCTTGGGAAAAGAATGACAGTCTATTCAAATTTCCCTCATTGCTCAGGCCAATCAGCTTAGAAAGCATCCCGATAAATCTCCTCTGCACTCTCTCTAGCACAATCATATCCTTCTTATAGTGTCGTAACCAGAACTGCATATAATATGTCAGTGTGGCCTAACCAGTATTTTATATAATTCCA